ATGGATAACCTTTTGCGACCGCATAAGGGATGCTGCGTGCGTCGGAAACGTTACCAGAGCCTTGAAGCCACTGGAGTGGATGGAACAAGTTGACATCAACCTGGTATCGAACAGTGCGACCATTGTATTCAAAGGCAAGGAGCATCTACCAGAGATTCAGGAAACCATCGAAGACATCGGTTATGAAGCATCTTTGGACAGCGTGGTTCCAGCGGAGAGCAAGGCGACCGACGCGACGACTCGAACAGTCGTAGTTCAAGTTAATGGGATGTTTTGCCACCATTGCCCACAGAACATTGAGCGTCTGCTTATCGAAAAGTATGCTGCTCAGGGTACTTTCGCGATTGACGACCCGCCTATATCACTATCAAGGCCTCTACTACAAGTCTCATACAGCCCAGATCCAGCCAACATGACCATCCGGCATATATTCGAGACTATCAAGAGCTTGAACCCCGCATTCGATCCATCGGTTTATCATCCTCCTACGCTTGAAGAGAGGGCGCGAGAGATGCATGCCCTAGAGCGAACACGTATTCTGTTCCGCCTGATACTTTGCGTCATCATCGCACTACCAACCTTCGTTCTCGGAATCGTTTTCATGAGCCTTATCAGCGAAAAAAATCCTATTCGTGCTTACTTGATGGAGAGCATGTGGGCGGGCAATGTCAACCGATTGAGCTGGGCACTGTTCATCCTCGCAACGCCCGTTTATTTCTTCGTGGCTGATACTTTCCATCGTCGCGCATTGAAGGAGCTCAAAGCCATGTGGAGACCCGGGAGCCGAACGCCTCTCCTACACCGGTTTATACGATTTGGTAGCATGAATTTGCTCATTTCGCTTGGCACAAGTATTGCATACTTTGCATCCATTGTGGAGTTGGCTCTGGCTGCTACCAAGAAGTCGTCTGGGTCCATGACAGATTCCTACTTTGATGCAGTTGTGTTCCTGACAATGTTTCTGCTGATAGGCCGATTTCTTGAAGCATACAGCAAGGCAAAGACGGGGGACGCTGTGACCTCCCTCGGCAAGTTAAGACCAACTGAAGCTACCCTAGTCGATGCAGATAAGGGGGATTACAAGATCGCAACAGATCTTCTTGAATATGGCGATGTTGTCCGTATCAACCATGGTACCTCACCACCGTTTGACGGAGCAGTCCTGGATAGTAGCGCCACTTTTGATGAATCTAGTCTGACGGGCGAATCACGCCCTATCAAGAAGGAAAGGGGTGACACTGTGTACTCTGGCACAGTCAACAAAGGTCCCCCAGTCAAGATCAGCATCACATCAATATCCGGTACCTCAATGTTGGATCAGATTATCAATGCTGTACGGGAAGGCCAGACACGCCGCGCACCGGTCGAGAGAGTTGCGGATACCATCACCGCACATTTCGTTCCTTTTGTCATTGCGGTTGCCATTTTGACTTGGCTCGTTTGGCTGGTCCTCGGTACTACAGGCAGTATTCCCAAAGACTGGAAGAGTGAGGGTACAGGTGGATGGGCGTTGTGGTCGCTGCGCTTTGCCATTGCGGTTTTTGTCATTGCCTGTCCGTGTGGAATCGGATTGGCAGCACCCACAGCACTCTTCGTAGGCGGTGGACTGGCAGCCAAACATGGGATTCTCGTTCGAGGTGGTGGTGAAGCCTTTCAGGAGGCTAGTTCGTTGGGCTGTATTGTCTTTGACAAAACAGGTACCTTGACTCAAGGTGGAGATCCGACAGTGGCGAACCATGCACTTTCTGGCCTGCAAAAGAGTGGCTTAATATTCGGCATCGTGAAGGCCCTGGAGGAAAACAGCAATCACCCCATCTCTCGCGCGCTACTGTCTTTCTGTGACAAGCAGAGCCACGATACGACTCTACCGATCAACGTCGACGAAGTCCCCGGGAAGGGCCTGAAGGGCGCATTTCGCGTTGATTCACACGAGATTACGGCCATTATTGGAAACGAAAGTTACATGGCCGACCACCATGTTGAGATATCGCCTGAGCAAGCTGCAACTCTCCAGAATTGGAAAGCACAGGGCCACTCTGTTGCCTTGCTTTCCTTACAGTTACCAGCGTCGATCATAAGCTTGCCGGAAGCTGCCCTGTCCAACCACTCAGAGGCATCTTCAGCCACCCAAATCGCAATGCCGGCTGTGTCAGCATGGAACCTTGCATGCATGTTTTCCATCGCTGATCCCCTGCGCCCAGAAGCAGTCGGTGTCATCACGGCACTAAAGAAGCGCAACATCGAGGTATGGATGCTGTCCGGTGACAACGCAACCACGGCACACGCAGTCGGGGCGCAAGTTGGCATTCCAGCCTCCAACATCATTGCCGGCGTTCTTCCAGAACAGAAAGCGGAAAAGATTAAGTATCTTCAACAGACGCTGAAAAAGCCAAATACAACTAAGCGCGCCACTATCGCCATGGTGGGCGACGGTATCAATGACGCTCCGGCTTTGTCGGCAGCAGACCTGAGCATTGCAGTAGGCAGTGGTTCGGATATCGCTCTGTCTTCCTCGTCTTTCATTCTGATCAACAGCCGCCTCACCACCATTCTCACACTACTCGATCTATCTCGGGTCGTGTTTCGTCGAGTGTACTTTAATTTCGGCTGGGCCCTCGTCTACAATCTTATCGCCATGCCTGTCGCAGCTGGTGTTTTGTTCCCCATCACCACCGGGACAAAGAAGATGGCCATGCATCACAATGGCGTTGGCATGGAGGGCGGCATGGCCATGGAGAATAGTGGCACGAAGCACATTCGCTTGGATCCTGTATGGGCGAGTCTGGCCATGGCGTTGAGTAGTGTGAGTGTAGTGTGTAGTAGTCTGGCGCTGAGGAGTCGAATTCCAGGGATTGGCTTCCGTGCCAGGACAGACATTGGAGTGGCGACTGAGAAGAAGGAGGCGGAGATTGTCTAGATTCATTCGCTTTGTTGTTGCTGTTGTATGTATACACAATGCGTGGTTGAGCTTTGAAAATGCATAGTATTTTTGAATTGCTTTTGTAGTCTACAACTGCTGGTGTCAGTGTGGTGATGAAGGTACTCATGGGTACCTATGACCAGCGAATAGGAGTATGAGGTTCATTACTTCATCCCCAAAGTGAGTCATCTGGCACCAAAGACGACGTTCATGTTGCACAGGCCATCTCAGCCGGTCACGAAGAACTGCTCAGCCTGCCAGAGTGGTGCGTGACAGGAACTAAGAAATTTGCGATTGTCCGAGTAGTGGTATTTCCCTAAAATGGCGCCAGCCCAATGCATACATGTTTTTATACACCAATGTACAGTCTCAGCCTCAGCCTCGGTATCAACAAGGCCCCTTACTTCCGTGCCTCGTTGGCTTGCTGAACGGCTTGCAGGGTGCCCACAGGTTGCTGCACAGACTGCTGGACCGGCGGCAGGTCGGGTGGGAGAACGTCCTCGAACTCGTCCTGAGAAATGGCTTTGATGGTATATGTGTCTGCCCAGCGTGAGACAAGTGCCTAGACATGGATTGGGCCAAGCGTACAGATACCAACCACGAGGGTGGCGATAGCAAACCCAGTGATGGTGTTCTTGACCAGGTACGGTGCTCGAGCTCGCAGCAGGGCTGGTGAGGCCCGCATACGGTCGTCGTAGTAGGTTGATCGGAATGGTTTGCTGGTATGGTCAGCACGAAAGAGTGCCTCCTTTTTGACTTCACAGACGTGTGCGCAGACTCACTATCCCATGGTTGGCGTGTTTGCGACTTCCAATCGTCGGGCGGGGATATGGGGCGGGGGGAGAGGCACGAGCCGTTCGTCACATAGTTATGGATGGACTTGGAAGGCCGCGGTGGTGAGATGTTCCACGCGCTAAAATGGCTAGTGGGGCTTGGCATATCGCTGCTGACGATCCCTCGCTCCTGCGCCAGACAATGCGCGTCACTCCTCACCCATCCTCTCTGTACGTTCACCATCGCCAGCGTCAAAACACCAGCCAACTTCAGCACCACCACCCAGCCCCGGCTCCCCCCTACCCTTCGCTGTATCACATCCTCTCGCCTTTTGACTGTTAGCTTAGCTGGGAATGGGAGAAGCCCTAGTCGGCGGGTATTTTCGGGCTTTGTCGCGCTCTTGAATTTGATTGCATCTCGCGCGTGAACAACAAGCGTCACCCCATACTACTCAGCCGGCACTCCAGGCCAAGAAGCCAGCCTCCGTTAGCTGTGCGTTGCGCTCAGCCATCTTGATGAGTGCACAAACTATGCAGCAGTTGGAGTCGGCGCGGTCGCTCGCGTTGGGCGACGGTAGATATTATCCGACCATCATACCAGGCGTGCTTCCCATCATCGGCTATTCTACAGAACAGCCCATCGAGATACAGCGATGGGGCGCCGAATTTCTTGCTGAAGCTTTTGGCTCGCCCACATGGCCGTCAGACGTGAAAGAGAACGCTGCGCCGTCCGTGCTGGCTACCCTCAAGGCCTATCTCGAGAATGTCGACGACAAGAGCGTCATCAAGAGCGCCGTGCAAGCAGCCGCAAGCGTGTACCCGCTCGTCTACAGACACACGTAAGTGAGCCCCCAACTTAAGATAGACGCTCCCTTTGCAATGATGCGACTGGCATCTGCTATCATGACCCCTGTGCCTCTATGCGCTCGTTGTTAGATATGAACATTCTCTCATACTTGAATGTGCCCCAGTGTCTCCGATCCCAGCGATGCTCAACACTGGCAGCTCATGGCTGCCATCAAATCGAATATTCTGCGCAGAATGGATTCCGCCGCTCCAGGGATACGCATCTGCTGTGTCAAGTTCCTACAGCAGATAGTCCTGGTACAGACGCCTGGCGTCATGGACCCTAGGGTGAATACAACCCTTCCGAAGACATGAACGAACCCCCCAACTAATTATTTTGCAGCGACCTGATCATAACGACATCTCACTCGCCCTTGTACCCCGCGATCACCCCCTCATTCCGTATGCGGCCCTTGAGGCAGAAGGACATGGTCTGCTGGACCGATTGCTGGACATCATACATGGAGATCACAGGTTAGATAGCCATCTACAGACTGCCAAATCTCGTCTGACACAACACAGTGATGGTCTGCTGGTAACAGGCACGCTCAATAGTCTAGGCATGCTTCTCCACCGACGTCCTGTTGCTGCAAACAAGATCCTAAATAGCATCTTCAACTTCAACCCCCTGAAGCTTGCAAACTCGCCCATGACACCCAAGAACAAGGTCATAATAAAGTCGATTGAACGCACAACTCGGGCACTGCTCGTGAACATCATGAAGAGGTATGTTCAGTGCATTCTGGCCTCGACCAACTAAGCTTACATTACAAGACACCCTGAAAACCCGATCAACGGCCGGATACAACAATATCTTGAGCGCATGCATCGCACACGTATCGAAGTCTTTGAAGAATCTAGTCGCAAACGTCCCGCACCCAGTGAACCGACCGACGGTCTCGACCAAGCCAAGAGGCAGCGCTTGGTTGCTGCTGAGACATCGCCGCATCCGCCTCCTGTCCAGGAACTACCGCCGGGCCCAGTGAGCTGGCGCCAACTATATACTCTGAACTCGGAAGGCAATTCTTTGAACTTTGATGTGCAAGCTTTCAAGGATCCAGAACAACTGCTCAGAATTGTTGTACCTGTCTTACAGTCAGTAGACGGGGCCAAGCTCGAGCAGGCTATCAATGTATGTCTTTCTTCGTCCCTCTATGTTCGTGCCAGAGCACGTATTAACCCTGTTCTCTGACATGATGGGTCGTCTTCGGTCCATGAATTTAACTTTTTTCAAGTTTTGAACTAATATTTGGCAGGTTGTTCGCTCTCGATACACTGCACTAAGTCGAGCCGCTGCTCAGCAAGCCGCTGCGCAAGCTGCTGCTGCCCCAGACGCAGATGATGAAGAGGAATATGAGCCTGATTTCGAGCCAGAGGACGCAGAGCAGTTGATCAACAAGCTTGATGGCGCCCCTCCAACCGAACTACAACTACAATCCGGACCTACTACAGCACTTGCGCCATATAAGCTACCCGATGCGCCTCCGCTATCTGAGCAGGAGGTTCAGAAGTATGGCGATATGACGATACATCGAGCCTTTGGTATGCTGAGCAGTGTAGACGAGAATCAGAAGAGCAAGGTGACAAAGGGCGGCTTTAACCGACTCGCTGCAAGTGACTATGGACGCGATGCATGGGTCACCATACTCTCAAGATTAGCTACACGAGCAAACGCTGGCCTGGAAGACCCGGAAGAGGGCATCAAGGACGAATTTGCCGTCAAGAGCGCAAAGGGGAGCCAAAAGATTGGCGATGCTGTCCGAGACGGGTTGTACCAGTACATCATGTACGACTGGAAGAGGCGGATCGACGTCGCGATATCCTGGTTGAACGAGGAGTGGTACAACGATATAGTCATTGCGCAGTCCACAAAAAACCCTACAAAAATCGGCACGACAAATGGACACAATGTATCAGATCCCCCCAAAGGCAATTACCGCCGTTGCGTACTACGCCTTATCGACGGCCTATTACCATACATTGAGAACACAGACAAGATCCTCCTGCGCCTCGTCTCCGAGATCCCCGCCATCGACGCAGAAATCCTGTCACGGATAAAGAAAATGGCCGAGGATCCGGAGCGCATCGACCTCGCTAGCCGGGTACTACAGTACCTATACATGTTTCGACCGCCAGTCCGGACTTTGGTCGTTGACGTCTTGGCCGAAATGTGGAGGGACAATGAGCGTGCGAGACCGAGCGTGAGGAAATTGCTGCTGAGGTGGAGGCCAGAGGTATTAGGCGAAGAGTCTACAGGTACGCCGACGCTAACGGTGAAGAAGGAAGAGGGTCAGTTGGCCAGGGAGAGTGCGAATGGAGCGCTGGAAGTCAAGGCTGCGTCGTGAACCCCTAGATGAGGTCGGGTGGTTTGAAATGGCTTCCCTGATCACCAATTTTTTTTCCTTCTTTGACTATATATATATTATGATATCACCATGCGCAATGGATGGGACGCGAGTTACCTTCTCGCCGTCGAAGCTCATACATGAGCCGACAGGCTTTTGGGGCGGTGGTTCTCTCCTGCGTTACCTTGGTAGATGCAAATGCGCCAGCATGCTCCACCCAGGTTTTTTTTCCCGCAATCAAACAATTATGGGAATTTCAGACCCTGAGTGTCCCGTCCCGTGTACTCCCCTCGCTTTCCACAAACCATCGCCCGCGCACTCTGTACATTCGTATTTGAGCAGAATACTCGGAATAAATGTCTTTTGCACTTGTGTATTTGTGCACAGCTCATCCTTTGAAAAAATATCGCCTTGTGACGGGCGTATACAGTACTATCATATGAGTATTACGCCGGGCTGGGTTTGCAGGTTACAGGTTTGATTGCGGGGGGGGGGGGGGGGGGGGGCATGATAAAAGAAAGACAAGGATGTGAAGGAATGTGAGATGTGGGGATGGGGTGTTCTGTGAATGTATTAAAGGGGAGGGATTGTTGTTGGGAGATGAGGCGGGTTTGGAGTAATGTTGATATATGTTTGCATGGTAGTGAAGTAGATTAAGGTCAACTAGGTGAGGTCATGTCTGTCTCCAGGCGATGGGCATGACGACCTAATCGAGCTGGTTGTTTAGCACACAGATGAAAACGTGAAGCTTGTTTCTATTCTCTATTCTCTATCCTCCCGGGGGCCTAGAAGTCTGTGTATGATTCGTAAGAGCAAAGGGTTGGTAGGGTATTCTTGTGAAATATCGAGGCTTTTTTTTTGGTTGCTGGGCTGGCTCATGATTTTGTCCACGGTAGGCCTAGTTTCTTCATCTCGACAGCGAGTTGGAGGATGTAGTCTATGCTCTCGCACTGTGTCTTTGCCTTGTGTACGTTGTCGCCCCATACATATCTGCTGCTTGTCAGCTACACGTCCTTTGTTCTCTCTGTCCGCTCAAGAAGAAGAAGAAGAAGAAGAAGAAAAGAGCACAGTAGATCAGCAACTTACATGCCATGTCTCCTAACCAATATAGCGTATGAATTTGGATACTTCTCCATGGCCGCCTCCAAGCTCTCCCGCAAATCCTCCTCGTGCGCCGTGTTCTCAATAATGGGTATCTGGAGTCGATCATAGTAGCCCAGGTTCTCGCGCCCACCGCGGAATTTTGGTATCCCTTTAATCTGCTCGATTTCTTCAATCTCAAAGCAGGCCTCGAGTCCAAAGTCGCGTTCTACAAGGAGGGTGACGAGGACGGCCCATTGGGAGTGGGTGTGGATGCAGCAGCCCGCGCCGCGTTCAAAGGCGGCGAGGAAAAGAGGGGTGCAGGCTGAGGGTTTGAGGACCTTGGGAGACTTGTTAGTAGAGGTTTATTCATGTGGTGGATTTTGATTTTCTTTGGATATATAGTTCAGACAAACCTGGGGTTTTCGAAGGTATTCTTTGGTGTTGAAGTCCATTACGAACATGTCGGTTGGCTTCATGAGCTCCTTCTGGACTCCGCTGGGCGCAATGTAGATTTTGTCTTCATGGCGAATGCTTGTCCCTCCTCCTGTTCCTGTTACCTATTTCAAGGCTTGATTGACAGTCAACAGATCGATCGGCCACACACCAGCACTGCCACCCTTCTTCGTGAAGCGTACCCAGCCTAAGGTGTAGAACTTGGCGCAAAGCGTGCAGATGTGATTAGCAGGATGATTTGGGTCACTCGAGTGCACGAGAGATTCAGCCTCTTGTTCGAGCGTGGTCATCATGGGCAGCTTGTCCCTTTTGTGAGAAGTTTCGACTGTTGAGCTTTCGGATTCTTTGGAGGTTTCCACAAGCCAGAAGGAGGGAACAGAAAGGCGGAAGCTAACTACCCCACCTGGTCCGCGCTCTGGCTTTGATATTTACCCCACCATGAAGCTTTTCCTGCTCATATGCACGCCCGGGGGCCTGAGGCAAACAAGGATTGGGGTATATTTGCTTTCTATAACGGCGCAACCAAAATAGAAAGTACTTTGCAAAATATAGGATCCTGCTCTAGTATGGTATCGTCAAATGGGGTATCTCGCGCAACCTGTTTGTTGGCTTTGCAAAGCCATAGGCGCAGTCGTCGCTTGAAGGGCTATCTTCTAGTCCTGAGCAGGAGGAGACGGCTCAGGCTTTTCCTTTTTGCCGTCGAGATGGAGCGCCGCCTTGACCTTCTCGCCCAGTCCCTTGCGTTCAGAAGATGAGCTGTGACCGCCGTGTTTCTCCTTGTACACATTTCCGGCACCACCACGCTACGCTTGTGTCAGCAATGTCTGTAGGGTTAGACGCATGGAGACATACACCAGTGTGGAACTCGTCCTGTGGGTTGCGCTGGTTGATCTCGGGCACAAAGTCGACTGAGCGACGGCCTTCGTTGGACTGTGGATCAAGACGTGGGGACACCCCAATGTTGCCGGCACCTCCACGGCCAGTGGAGAATTCACCGTCGGCTGACTCTCCCTGAACACCTTCGCGGACAATACCACCATCTGTGTAGACGTTGACGTCGGGGCCAATGTTACCAGCACCTGCAAGTGATCAGTATCATCAAGGTGGGTGATCGTCGTTGTTTGTCCCTGACTAACCCCCACGGCCGGT